CTCCTCTTAACTATTTCTTGAAGCCCCTTTTCACTTCGGAAACACCTATTCACGCAAATTTTTCGCATTCATCGCACCATTTTCCATACTATCTTCCATTTCTCATCATAATCTGGATTATCCAAAATGAGCCTTCAAAGGGATGAATATCGAACAGAATATAGCGTGAAATAAAATACGGACATAGATTATGGGGCAAACAATACATATGTGTTATCCCTTTCACGAAAGCTGGATATGCTAGTCTAGTTATTTGCCTGTTTATCCAGCCAAGAATCTGTAGTTGTGATAGTGCAATCAATAGGAGGAAATGGCCCTATAAAATAACAAACTCATCAACTTATATCCATTGAAAATGATACTGAGATTATGATTGTGCTCTCTTGCATTCATATGGCCGTAGACAGCCATACAGCAACTAACCAATGCTAGTGTTGGCCTCTTTGGCAAGCCAGTGAAAAATGATGAGCAAACATCGAAATCAGGGAGCAGGAAGTACATGCAAAATTTTGAGGGTAACGAAAAATTCCCAAGCGCAACTTCACTTGCACTTATGAACTTCGCGAGCTCTGTACCTAATCCTTAAACAATAAACAATAAACAATCCTAAACAATATCACCTTTCCATCAACAAATCCATATACTGGTCGAACGCGGTAGTGATCATTGTTCGATGACTTCACCTGTATTAAAATTTTCAATAATATGAGAACTGTATTATTTCAATCGCTTGGATTAGTACATTTCTTTAAACATTTTCTAAATGAATAGCGTCAGATTGTAGGTTCTTTAGAAAGTGAAGTTTCAACGGGTAAGATGTCCTACCTTGAAAGCGAGCCTCGCATCGACAAGTGAAATAATGTTATGCGTTGCATTACCTCCAGTGGCTGGAAAATTGCCTACGGCTGGTTCCACGTTCAGAGACATCGTCCAGTCCACAGAATGCAAAAGTGTATCAAGCGAAAATGAACCTTGCCCAAAAGAATTGCCAGATAAGTTTTGATATCAGGTTATCAACTCTACTCTAATGCAGCCTTTTCATGACAGAAGCGGTCTTGTTTTCCTCGGGGCGTAGAATCTCACAAGCTAGGGCTTCCTTTAACATCTAACAAAACTCAAGATAACTGTTCGAATGCACTGTGATTGATTCCATCTCCGATCAGAAGTTTAGTGATATTCTGGCATCAATTTCATATTTTTAGTGAACAAGTTTCAATGTTAAGGCTCGAAAGACGTCTTCACGCACGTGTTCAAACAGTATCATCAATGTCCGAACTAGTAGTGATGATTAGTAGTGTTTGATCTTCCACCTTAAGTAATAAGCTTTCTCAACGTTGAGCACCGAATCTGTCTTGCTATGTGCGCTTTCTCCGCCTGCTCGATATAATGTCTGATTCATAGTCAGCCCACGTCGGAATATCCTCTCCTTTCTTATCCAAATAATCTCTCTTATTTATAAAGCAGTAACTTGGTGTGTCGAATTGTCGCTATGTCGGTGTGTCGGTTTGTCGGTTTGTCTGTCTGTCCGTCCGTGAAACATATGCTTACGATAAAGGATATGGAAAACCTAGCTCTGATCAAAATTTCCTTCTTATATATAAAGCAGTTACTTGGAGGGAAGGTTAATGGAATAGAGTGCTGCGGAATAGAGGGTAATGTGAATGAAGTGGTTTCTTCAGAACTGTGATTTCGATCTGTGCTATGTATGTCTGCACAATATTCGGAGGTGATAATGTAGTAGAGGGGCCTCTGCTTTTTTTTCAACAGTGAGCGGTAGAGAGAGGAGGTGAGCCCATAATTGTGCTCAATGAAGTTTCTTAGCCCAGAATATACAGTTTTTTGACATGAGCCTTAGGAGCACCGAGGTGGGTGAGTCAAATGAACGTTCAACTCACATCCCATCCTAGCTTTTTGCACTCCAATGAGGTACTCGTTCCAATGAAACCCCAAAGCTCCTCACTTCCTGAGGCCTAGATTAAAACTATACTCTTTCGCTCAGAACCAATGCTCAGCACAGGTAAAGTCGGCTACCACTTCTCTGTACTCAAGTCCTCAGGCCCTCCGGTCACAAATGAATGAAAGCGATACCCTCTCCCGCTAACTACTTTGTAGAAGAAAGAAATTAGGGCTGGTGTGTGCCGGGCGACCGGACTGGCTCAGGCAGTAATAGTATGGAACCCAGAGTTCTCTGCTTTAGTGGTAGTTTACCCGTTTGCTCTGAGTGTATACCAGTCAATTCGCCCGGCTAAAGCCGGGCTTCCCTCCTCCTTTGACGAACCTGTNAAAGCGATACCCTCTCTCGCTAACTACTTTGTAGAAGAAAGAAATTAGGGCTGGTGTGTGCCGGGCGACCGGACTGGCTCAGGCAGTAATAGTATAGAACCCAGAGTTCTCTTTTCATTTAGTTTACTTGCTACGACAAATAGAGCGGACATCTTCAGCATGCTTGATAGTCATAAGCTCCCTTCCACAATTCTCATGGTGTTTTTGTGTATCGGCGCTTTAGTGGTAGTTTACCCGTTTGCTCTGAGTGTATACCAGTCAATTCGCCCGGCTAAAGCCGGGCTTCCCTCCTCCTTTGACGAACCTGTGGTTCGGCTAACTCCCCACTTCTCCTTTGAAACAATTAATCATTCCCTGTACACGAAGTTTGACTGATGGACTGATGAGGCAGTGCAAATGGTATTTAGTTCGAGTCGGAGCTTACGCCATTGAATGGGAGTCTCGATCTTTTGCTCCCAAAAGTAAGTACCATTAAAGACTCAATCGTTAGTCAACTGTTAGGCAAACAAAACTTTGGGGGAGACTCACAAATGTTTCAAGCGTAATAACACTATTACCAACTGTAATAACTGGACCCTTTTCTTTACGGAGATATCATTTGTTGAGAATTTCAGGTTACTGGCGGTTGGTTCAGTTTTCTAATGATATCGAACAAAGAAGATCTTTCGCGAGACGTAAACTGTGCTGGGTAGTGGTCGTAACCGAAGAGCAAGAAGTGAATGAAATTCTCATCTGCTTATTGTGTGAAGCACAGTGGACAGTTAAAGCTACATCGTAAATACCGAAGGCGGTAGGATCTCGATAGGATAGGAAGGTAGCTCTTGTTCTCTTAGGCTCCTTATCTTCACTTATTGGTTGTTATCAGTTCCTGTCACCCGCGATCCCGTCGTAGCCTGCACCACTTATTAGGAGCACAGTTCACGATAAGTTTTCGGTATCCGGTTTTCGAAAATTGAAAGTGATTGTTAAGAATAGTGCAAAAATGCGGAAAGCGTGCTGCAAGTGTCGTATTTAGAGGTGAATGAACTTCCGGAAAAGTTGAAACTGAGAATTGGACGAGTTCCAGGCGAAAAAAAGGCGTGAAAGGGATGATAGGGTGAGCAGGGTGCAATATATGCAATAGCGTGCAACTGGCTGTGGATGCAAAAAAGATCCTTCGCTAAGTGTGTCTGTTGGTGTGTCGGTGTGTTTGTGCGTGTGTTTGTGTGTGTGTCGGTGTGTGTGTTTGACCGGAAATTCATAACTCCTGTCTTCGTGGACCTAGAGCGTTCAAAATTGGTAGAAATAAGGGGGACAGGATGGGAACACTTTCGGCAAGTGGCAGGACCGGACTCCGTCCACAGCGAGTGCGGCGTGCGCGTTAGAATCTTTGGGCCGCAAATTCATAACTCATGTCCCCGTGGACCTAGAGCGTTCAAAATTGGTAGGAGTAAGGGGCAGGATGGGAGCACCTTTGATAAGTGGCAGGATCGGAATCCGTGCACAGAGGGTGGGGTTTTGCGCCGCAATAGTCGATTTGGCCCTTGGGCAATCAAACTTGGCAGGAGTATAGGCGGCAGGATGGAAACATTTATCGTAGGTGGAAAGACCGGACCCGCTTATAGAAGGCGAGGTTTGCGCCAAAACTTTCAGTTTGCCTATAGGGCGTTCAAACTTGGTAGGAAGCAATATGGGAACACTTATGATGAGTAGTAGGGCCGGACTACGCCTCCAAGGAACAGGATTTTGCGAAATAAATGAGCAGAAATCCATAACTCCTGATCCCGTGGACTTAGAGAGCAAACAATATGAGGGCAGGATGAGAACACTGACAATAGAAGACGCCTCAGAGAAGAAGATCCACGCACCAATTACCTCCTAGCGCCTTTGTTATTTACGATCTAGCTATGACTTTTTGATATGTTTCATTCGACAAGAAGGTTAAGTAGTGTGATTATAAGGAGATGAATTTGGTTTACTTCTTGCTATTAGATTACGACCGCTACCCAGCAGAGTTTGCGGTTAATTGATAGATCACGGTTTCTCTTTGCTTTGATATCATTCTTAGCAAAATTTATCCGACCGGTAATAATGTTGGATTCACATTTAATGATGTATCCGAAAAGGAGGTACATCTTTGAAGGCATTTGATATACTCTCGCTCGGCGAAGAACGAAATAACATATTAAAAAGGGGGAATTTCATTGATTCGGTATTTTTCGGGCAAAGTCCCTTTGCCCCAAGAAGGAGGAGAGCCCTTGATGATGAACATTGATGGTAGCTAACATAGTAACCTCAGCCGCGATGAAGTCTCTGAATACTTTTTTCTCTGAATAATCGCCTTTGTGATATTAAACGATGTTCTTTCGGACTTAGCGAGGTTGGCTTACAGAAAAAATCGCTCCCACTTTGGAGCTAATACTGAGGGTGTAGAGCTTTGAAAGCAAAAGGAGAAACCGAAGTGTTTTGACGCATAGCAAATTCCTCACAGGAAGAAGGAGTGCCCGGCGTAGCCGGGCGGCCCGTCTGGTTTATTAAAATGGGTCAGCATACTACAGTGCAATGTCTGATAGTGTTTTTGGCACTTAACAGAAACAATTCAAAGACATCGCACCGAAGGAATGCTTCTCAACAAAAATCCAAAATAATTACAACACAAACATTCAAAGTCACAGCATAATTTAACAAAAGCACGACTGACAGTTATACAGTCGAGAAACCCGCCACAACGCCTTATTTCACCTTCGCCGCCAGTTCATCATTGCCATTCTTTGATTTCGTCAATTTTCCAGAATATTTTATCGTACTCACTCGTTCTTCGCATCTGTCAATTCTCATTCAAGAACAGGTAAAGACTGGCATGGACCGTCATCGCCTGTTCAGCAACAGGCTTGAGTTGAATCATTTTCAAGAAGACTCTGGACTCAATGAAAGCAGAATGAGCTTGCAGTGAGCGTCATTCGGCCAGGCTTGGTATTTCGGCGGGTGTAGTGAGATTGTTGTACGATTGCTGGTGGCAGGAACTGATAGGCCGCGATAAGGGTTGATAAGAAGCTGTAGAAGGCAAAAGTCAATAAGTCGATTGTGTAGTTGCCAGAGCTTTCAGAGTTTTCCACAAAACATTGGTTGACCATTGTGTTCAGCAAAAAATTGCGGTGTAAAAATTTGTATCAACAATGTGATCACGGTAGCAAGGTGCTAAACTTGTAGAACATTCCTTGGGCAATCAACACATGTGTTCACAAGGATACACATGAGGTCTTTCGCAGCAGTACCATCAATGAATGGACATCACCCGATTCGTATTCACTTTCTACTAGACAAGTCAAGGGAAAAGCGGGTGTAGCTGCTCAAAGTGTCAGCATCCTATTCGATGCTAGCACTGTTCACCGAACATTGGTCAACGATGGGTTGGATCGCATCGTTGCAGGAGATACTAGCCTTCAAAATAACGCAAGCATCGCTGCTGAATTTTATGGATTTGAAGGGGCCCTCCCACTATAAGTTGCTGAACGCAGACTAGATGGTCACTACTATCGCTTACCCCTATAAACCCCAGTATTCAACCAAGGCAATTATCAACAAACGTCCGAACTTGCGAAGCTATGCAGAAAAGCGATAAAGGAAGATCTGAAAGTGAGAGGAGCAGCAGTCATGGATGAAGC